CTGCAACAGAAAAAGAAGTCTCCGGCGGTGGTTCAACCACCCGGGGGCACTCCGACGATCAAGTCAGTATATCTCTCAAAGATAATCAAGTGCTAAACTCACAAGCTTGAGAATCAAAAGCATACCTTAGATCCATGGGGGTGCCTCTCTTTTATAGCCAACATAAACCTAGTCCCAATAGAAGCCTAACTTCTATGGACTCAGGATTACTGCTAATCTTAGACTCCCAGTAAGATTAGGATAAACTCTCTAAGAGTCTTATCTTTACCCAAACTGAAGTCTTCTCCCAATCTAGGACTCTTGTCCATATCTAGGTTGAGTTCCCTCTTTATTCTAGGACTCTTGTCCTTTATCTGCTTATCTTGGATTCCGATATCTTTAGAGATAACCTCGGCCTTGCCAAGATCACCTCGGCGTCACGACCAGGACACCTGGTACCTCGGCTGACACGTCGGCGTCACCTTGCCACGTGTTGGTACTCAGAAAATATATCCCCATACTTGTAATTCATGAAGCAAGCCGAGAATGTATTTGGCTTAGATCCATGATCTATCATATTCAAGAAAGATGTTGATTGCCATCAACAAAAGATAGTCCAACTATATTATATGAAGATAATGTTGCGTGTATCATACAGATCAAAAGAGGTTATATCAAAGGTGACTGGATTAAACATATTTCACCAAAATTCTTTTACACACATGAGCTCCACAAGAATAGTGATATTGATGTTCAACAAATACGCTCAAGTGATAGTCTGGCAGATCTATTTACTAAAGCATTACCGATTGTAACATTCAAGAAGCTGATGCATAATATTGGGATGCGTCGACATAAAGACCTATTATACAGCATTAAGGGGGAGTCATCAATTTTAGTAGATTTGTAGATGGTATTCTTTTTCCTTTGTCTAAGGTCTTTTCCCCACTGGATTTTTCTTAGTTAGGTTTTAACAAGGCAATCTAAATAAATCATATATAAGAATATTATACTCTTTTTCCTTCACCAAAGGTTTTTTCCCACTGGGTTTTCCTTGGTAAGATTTTAACGAGGCATATTCTTAGTATATGGTTATTCAGGAAGGAGTATTGTGAAATATTTAGATAACCATAAAAAAAGATGGAATTGAAATTCTAATGAGTTTTGGACTAAAGCGAAAATAAGGAAAAATTTTATCATGTGGGAAGTGTGGCATGTCATGTGATAAACCACATGGTGTGATGAATAGTGGTGTATAGTGTATGTTTTATCACTTGAGTTTGCATGGTAATGAAGATATAGAAAAATTGTATATTACATGTGTGATCTTTTATTTCCTCTTGTATTATGGCTCTTCCTTCTTTATTTTCTTTAATTTTATAATAATTGAGATACTAAAGGATTTTAGCAACCTTGTGAAAGAAAATTTGAGCTTTATTTGGAATCAATGCAATTTAAAAAGATATAAAGCTATGATACATACATATGTAATGTAATGATAGTATAAAGAATTATAAAATCAAGCCCACTTAAATTTGATGCACTACTCGTAAGAAGAATATTCTGTGGGTAAGGTTAAGACAATAATTTACCAAACTTTCATTTGTCTCATTATTCATGTCATTAACATGTTGTGCTTAAATATTAAATTTGTGAAAATTTTGAAAAGAAAATAATTACAAATGGAAGTTTTATATATAAAAATTCATACAACATTTTTACAATTATGAGTCACATTAATGGATATTTTGTATTGAAATGAATGAGCTATGACGTCACATTATTCTATTTCAAATTTTAGTAAAATTTTTATATTTATATTGGCATTACCCAGATAAAAAGATAGGAAAAAGGAATTAAATGAAAGATGCACCTTTTGCATTTGTTTGGTTGAATTAGGAAAATAAGAATAAATGATTATATATGTCATTTTCTCATTTGTTTGGTTGAATTAGGAAAATAAGAATAAATGATTATATATGTCATTTTCTTTTGTCTTGAGAAAAATAGTAGTTTTAAAAAAAAATTAAAATCCAAATATATAAGTGAGAAAATTCATGGATTTTTTTTTTTTGGCTAGGCAAAAAGGTTGGAAGGGAAGGATCAACCAACATTTCCTTCTGAGCGGACCAAAGGAGCTTCTATTTACTAACTACTAGGAACCACCCGAGCTAGAGGGGTCTAAATGAGCGAACAACTGGCGTTCTGTTGGTCAACAAACAAGTCTGAGTCACAATTTAATCTTAATCTCACTAAGATTCTAATCGACAGAAGTTTAGAACAAATATAGATGAAAATAATGTCACCCCATGAAGACTCAACTCGAGAGCCACTTGCTCACAAAATGAGAGGGAGATTCCACATGGCACGTCACTACATTGGCGGCAATTCATGGTAAGGCTTGTTTTGACAAGTGCCTAAAAGGTGACTTTTTGACATTTAACCTATTTTGAGTTAAATTATTTTTTTTATTTTTTTTTACGTTTTTTTAAAAAAAATTAAATAAAATCAAAAAATTAGTTTTTAACTTACTTTTCAAAACAACTCTTAATACAACATTTTTATGAAGTTTTTTAGTTAGCTAGTTAGTGCATGCAAAGACATTCATGCGTTATTTCATTTGCAATTGAAAAGTAATGAAGACAAGATTTTTTTTTTTTAAAAAAAAAAAAACTAGAAATATCTCTAGATGATACACAACTAGGGGTGTAAATTGGGCTTGGGCAAACCCATTTTGGGTCGTCCAGGCTTCAACCAAAATTTGAGTAGGGCTGAACCAACTCACGGGCTAAAAAATTAGGTTCAAGCTCAGGCTTAGGGGGTATTCAAGCATTGAGCGGGCCAAGGCTTGGACTCGAGCTTGGATCGGGCTTGAACATTTTTTTTTTAAAAAAATTTCCTATTTTTTTACCAAATTTTTTTTTTCACTAAACATGACATTGGGCTTTGGACAGGCCGGACTTTGAGTGAATCTTGAGCGAGTTGATGGACCAAGCCAGACGAGTTAGATTTCAAAATGACGACCCAAGTTCAAGTCCAAACCCAAGCCCAATATCTCGAACTAGGCTCAAACCCGAATCTAAACGGGCCAAATCCATCCCAAGTTGCGGACAGATTTTGAGCCATCCACAGACCGTTCAGCATTTTTACGCACCTCTATCTAATTTATTCTACAATAGAATAGTAACAGAAGACAATGCTACAAATGGAAATGCCAAATGACTAATCCACTAACTAGTTGTCGTCACCCAATTCATGTGGGGCTTTTGTTGCACCAACTTTAAAGTGAATATTTCGAATTAAAATTTTATAAAAATTGAAAGTGCTGGGTAATCTTTCTGTATATGATTTTTGATTAAAAAATAATTCTTTTAATCTTACTAACATATTGTTGAAAAAATAGTTTAATATAGGCATATTTTTTAATTCAATTTTAAGTGGGCTCCATGCGTCTTTTGGGGTGGGTCAGAAGAGGTGACATGTTCCTTGTCGCGTGACAAGTCACACGGTGAAGACGGAACGTCAAAACCATTGATAGGTGAACAGGAAGTTGACATCGTTTTTGAATCAAAAATTAATTTTTATTTGATAAAATTCATTTAAATTTTTTCAATAAAAAATTATTATGGGAATTTAATTTAATTCTAAATTCAAATTTTGAGTTCCTGAATGGTTTTCTAAAGTTTGTAATTGTGAGAATTTAATTTAATTCTAAATTCAAATTTTTAGTTCCTAAGTGATTTCCTAAAAATTGATTAAATTATTTAAATAATTTAATAAAGTTATTCCATTCAGTGAAAGGTTTTATTGATTTAACTATTCTAATAGTTTAAACAATAAAGGTACAACAGTTTTGTAACTGTTCACCTTTGAAACCTTTTTCAAATTTTTTGAAAATTTGCAACGGTCATATCATCTATGAATAGTGTTGCACTTTTTCACTTCTTTGTTGAACCTGTTCGGGGCTAAGGGTTTTTGCCTATATATATTGCCTGATTCCAGCAGTCTTGGAACCGGAATTTCAGTCTGAAATTTTTCTCTTTGCTGTCCAGATTTCTTTTAGTGCATTATTCTTCATTTATAATTTTAGGAATAAATATTCAGAGAGTTAGAACACAGGTTTGGTTCGCCGAACAAATTGTTTGGAGTACTACTACAATTTGTGAAGATCATTGTATCTTGGGAGATAAACGCCACTCAACCGTAAGTACCGTAGCAGGGCGAATCTGTCTTAAGGACAGAGTATCACACACTCGACTTTGTCTTTGAATTTTTAATTCGGTTCGATAAATAAATCTGATATGTTATTTATTTATTTTGTTTGATTTTATTTCAAATTATTTTATTTACATAGAAGATTGTTCCAACAATATTTCTCATGAATTGTGTTAAAATGTTGATTTTTTATTATTTTTTATGAAAGTAAATTGTTAATCTCAAAAGTAGATATAAGAGCATCTCCAATGAATTGCTAAAACAGTTGCCAAAGTCATAATATAGTAGCTTGGGAAAAAATGGCTTCTCCAATGACATGCTATAGTAGCTGCCAAATCATGCGCCAAATTTGGCAGCTGTTTTGGTAGCTGCCAAATCTGTCAAGTCACCAAAAACCAACTGATTTCTTCCTTCCCTCCTTCCATTTCAGTTGAGACTTTTCCAGAATGATTGAAGTTTTTTTTTTTTAAACGAAATTCACCAATTTGTTTAAAACAAAATTTACACAAAATTTCAGTAAATACCAAATTAATCATCTTCAATATCGAATTAATTATCTTCAAAAAATCACCAAATTTCAGCAATATCATCTTCAAATAATCAACAGGAATATCAATAGACATTGTCAAATGAATTTCTCAAATGAAAAATATCAACAAAAATACTAATAAGAAAAATATCAACAGGAATATCATCTTCAAAAATACCAACATAAATAATCTCAAATTTATTTCTCAAATAATCTCAAATGAATTTTAGAAGAAAAATACGTGGATTTGAAATAATCCAGGTTGAATTTGAAATACCTGGATTTAAATAATCTCAAAGATGAAGTTGATCTGAAGCTCATCGATCTGAAAATGAAGATAAGAGAAAGTCTCATCGATCCGAAGTTTATTGATTCGAAGATGAAGTTGATCCGAAGCTCTCTCTCTCTGATCTTTATTGATCTGAAGAGTGTGATGAAATTGATCCGAGAAACAAAGGGTTCTTGTGGAGACATGGAGAGAGAGAAAGTGAGAACCAGGGAGAGAGAGAGATGAAAATAATGAGAGTGAGGGAGATAGAGGCTATAGTGAGTGATGAAAAGTGATGAGAGGATAGAGACACGCATATAGATTAAAGAGAGCAGATGTCAGCAAAGGGGCTATTCTTCATATTTGAGTAGATCATTCTAGGAGATTGATATCAGCTGTTGATTAATAACAATTCAACGGTTGAGATCCAAGTGTGTTATTTTGTTCATTTAAAAAAAATTTAAAATAGAAGTGAAACATGAGATGAATGAGAGAAAAATAAAAAGAAATGGACAGTGAGAGAGTTTAGCCTGTAAATGTTTATGTGTGAATTTATTTTTCTGTCTTAAGATAGAGATGAAATCTTAACTAAATAATTATAATAAGTTGTATTTGATATTTTTAATTTTAATTTGATTTGGATATAATTGTATAATTCTAGATATTTTTAGTGCAATAAATATTGTACTCAAATTATGTTATACAATGGTTTTTATTGCTGTAAATTAGAATTGTTAAACGAGTCATATCCAGTAAGACGGGTTGTGCATCAATATAGTTTAGTTTAATTTAGTTAGTCGTGAATAATATAAATATATAATTTTTTTTAGAAATAATTAAAAAAGATCACAAAAGATAAAAAATAAACAAAAATAAAATTTCTAAAAAAACTATATCCAAACAACAACTAAAAATTTGGAGGGAAAGTTGGTTGAGTTTGCCAAAATAGCAAGTGACTATTGGAGCACCATTACTATAATTTGGCAAAATAACACTATTCATTGCCAAATTGTGGCAATAGCAAATGTGTTATAGCAACAACCATTGGAGATACTCTAAGAAAAAGTTTTAAAATATGATTTTTTTTTAGAGTGAAGTATCAATAAATCTTAAAAAGTAATCTTGTGAACAGTTTAATCCTTTATTTTTTTTATGAATCCAAAAGTTTTATTAAATTAAAAATTACACAAAAGAATAGTAACTTTGATCGAAGGCTAAATGTTACATATTTGACCCACTAACATATAATTTATTAGTCTATTTATTTGTATTATTTTATAATTTTGTGTGATTTTATATGTTTGTATATATTTTTGTGTTTATATATAAATTAGTATAAATAATATATCTTATATGTTATATTATATTTATTATAAAATAAAATGATAAAAAGAAAAAGAAAAGCGGTGCCGGTCACCTCAAGTGATTGAGGTAGTTTGTATTTAGTTTTGTAGAGTTTTAATTGATTTGAGTACTGTTGTATAACTTAGATTTTTATACAAATATTGTTTTGTCAAATTATATATGTTCACTGGTTATCAATACATGTTATACAAATAATTTTCATGCTTGTGTAATAAAATTATTAGACGAGCCATATAAAAAGCAGGGAATTTGTTAACACAAAATTTTCATCAAAATAAATTTTCCTTTCTTTAACTTCACTTTCTAGCATTTTCACTTTACATCACACCATTTTCTTTCTAATCGAAAAGACTCTAAAGCCAAAAGCAACCCCCTCTATGCCAAATCAAAAAGTTTAACCCGGTAACCTGAAATTTGCAAAGCAAGTAATCACTACACATACCATGTCAAACATTTTTAGGAGAAAACAACACCAATATGCTTACTGAATTACTACTACTTATTGTATACTGAATTGTATGCATCCACTTGTATATATGTATTAATTTTCACATAACCTGAAATTTATTTTTATTTAAAAAAAAAAAAAAAAAATCATACTTTGACACAAATAACATAACAATGAAATAGAGCAATTAACAAGGGCATAGAAACAGAACAAGAACTCTCACTAACAGATATAGAAAGGCAAATACGATTTAATCTTTGGCGGCAATCGCAATTTGTTCAAAAAATCAACGAACGGACTCTCCAAATCCTCATCAGAAATCCTACCACTCTCATCACAGCTCTCATCACCACCATCAGAACCAACAACAGCAGCTTTCAAATGCCCATCAACAAGCTTAAAAAAAATCCCCAACCTCGTCTTCACAGCTAGCCCTAAAGTCGTATCCGAAAATATTGCCGATCGCGAATCGGGCACACTCGACAACTTCCCATCGCCATCGCACACAAAGTTGGCATCAACACTCTTGAACTCCATGTAGTGACTCGCTCCCGATTTGAGCATGAGATCAACGGCCGAGTCGGCGCAGAAGAAAACCCTAGGGCCGGCCAAATCGAGGTTAAATGTTCTGGAATGTTGGAGGGGTTCGGGGGAGTGAGAGGAGATGTCGAGGTCAGAGTACATGGGGCTAGAGGAAAGATCGATGGCGATGTGAGAGATGGTGAAGAAGAGAGAGAGACCAGAGACGGTGAAGAGGAAGAGAGATGTGAGGAATGGAGAGAGAGAGAGAGAGAGAGAGAGAGAGAGAGAGAGTAGATCTAAATGAAATAAAAGATAGAGATGAGAACAAAAAAGTATATATATAATATATATATCATTCGGTGGACAAACGGGGCGGGGCTCGGGGCCGGGGCGGGCCGGGACTGAAACATGTGTCCCCGTCCCCGGCCCGAATATCATCGAGGATTTTTTTTTTATCACCATCCCCGGCCCGTCGGGGGTATTTTTCGGGGAATAACCATTATATTCGGGATCGGGGGGTCGGGTCCCCATCGGGCCGGTTTCAGATTGTCATTCCTAGGGGGGGCTCACAAAGGGTTTAGGCCCAAGAGATGAATGAGAGAAAAATAAAAAGAAATGGACAGTGAGAGAGTTTAGCCTGTAAATGCTTGAATTTATTTTTCTGTCTTAAAATAGAGATGGAATCTTAACTAAATAATTATAATAAGTTGTATTTGGTATTTTTAATTTTAATTTGATTTGCATATAATTGTATAATTCTAGATATTTTTAGTGCAATAAATATTGTACTCAAATTATGTTATACAATGGTTTTTATTGCTGTAAATTAGAATTGTTAAACGAGTCATATCCAGTAAGACGGGTTGTGCATCAATATAGTTTAGTTTAATTTAGTTTAGTTTAGTTTAGCGGTGATAGTCCATGCTAAGCAAAGATAATTTGTGACTTTCTGATTTCGATATACAAATCTTTTTGCCAATGTATTTTAAATCAACTTACATTACAGTATCCAAATCAATGATTTTCTAAAGACTGAGTACAATTACTCTCAATTATGAGGTTAATGGTGGATTTGAAATCCTAAGATATTTATTTTATTTTGTTTAGTTAATTGTTTAATTAATTAGTTTAATTTTCACTCCAAATATTTGTAAATAAATCTAAATTTCTAAATTAAATTATTCGTCATTAGTTCTTGTGGATCGACATCTGGTTTTAACCGCTATTCTACAGAGCAATTGTGTTTATTTGGTTTTAAATAAAATATTTTTGTGTGCAAACGACCATACCAAACTCAATACATTTGTGTTTAATTTTTTAGGGATAAAAGTGGGTTTCTCTAAATGTGAAATTACACATTTGGGCAATCCACAGTATAGAAGTTTTTGGATTTTTCCTCATTCTGGAGCAAATCCTACATTACGAACAAAAACGTAACACTCTAATATAACGCTCTAATAACGTAACATTCCAATGTAGCATACTAAAAAATTCCTTAGTCTACTTTTTTCAAATGTAACAACATAACACTTTAAAAAAAAAATTAGTGTACTTTTCCTAAACGTAACTCCCCAATCTAACACACAAAAATTTATTATTGTACTTTTTTCAAATGTAACACTCCAATCAATGTTATCCTAAATGTAATACACTTCAATATAACACATACAAAAATCCTAAAAATTTCCTAGCGTACTCTTCCCAAACGTAACACTTATGGTGTGAAATTATACATTTGCCCAAAACTTACTAAGAAATTTTTGTACTCATTTTGGAATGATTTGAAGAATCCCGTATCATTTTTTTTGAGTGTTATGTTTGGAAAAAAATACACTAATGAATTTTTTTTGTGTTATATTGGAGTGCTATACTAAGAATTTTTTTTGGAATATTATATTGGAGTGTTACATTTGAGAAAAGTACACTAAGGAGTTTTTTTGAAGTGTTACATTGGTGTGTTACGTTTGAGTATTACATTCGAATGTTACAGTTTGAAATTATACATTTGCCAAAAACTTACTAAGAAGTTTTTATACTCATTTTAAAATGTTTAAAGAATTTCATATATTTCAAGTCATTTTTATACTCTCTTTGAAATGTTTTCCAAAAAAAAAAAAATCATATAAAAATTTATCCCAAATTTGATTCTCATAGATTGTGTATATTACTTTTTTAACACAAAAGAAAAAAACATAATAGAAATAAGGCTATAACTATAAATCCAATTTCTAAATAATATATGATCCATAAGAAAATTGTTGGAACTAAATGGATAAGCATTCCTCAAGATGAGATTTATTGGTAAATTTTCTTTTTTTTTAAGGGATTGGATTCAAATCTGGACTAGAGAGGAGCTATTTGGGCCAATGGGACCTACTACGAGTCATGTTTTGATGATCCAAATTGTTTATTGTTTAGAGTTCTTTTTGTATATAATTTATAAAAAGAATCAAGTTAATCTGATAATTGAACCATCTTCATCTTATTATGTTTTTCTCTAATAAAATGAATAGCAAGTATGTTTTTTTAAAACAAAAATGTTTCAGACCCTCACTGGGGTGACCCCCAGGACCCCAGTGGGATGTGACTTGCCGAGATATATATATATTTTTTTCCAATGACCAATCCCCACGTGTGTGTGCGGGTGGTGGGGGTGTGAGCAGTGTGAGGGTCTCAATCACGTTTGTTTTTAAAATTGACCATTCATTTTTTTAAGATAAATGCGATAAAATAAATATGCTACAATTAGCTGATTGATCTAACTTTTTTATCTTTATTTTTATAGATAATATATACAAAAAAAATAAATAAATAAAAACCTTATAAAATGAACAGTTTATACCAACAAAACAGAATTCATAATAGGTACCATTGGCCAAATAACAATTCTCCAATCCAGATCAAAACTGGAGAAAATCCGATCTTTTTTTAAAAAATCAAATTATAGTTTTTTTTAGTCCAATGTCAAGTAATAGACT